TCGGCACACCACAACCAACTTTGCTCACAGATACTATCCATTATGTATTTAAATTCTGAGCACAAGTAGAAAGGCCATTAGGCCTGAATTTGTGGGAGGAGTAAGTCCCATACTTAAACTCCCAGCCCCTACTCAACCGCTGCCTCTCAGCTGATTGTCCCCACCCACCTACACCCTGTTCTAACTACATTATCCTTGGTGGGCCCTCTTTTATTTACAGGCCCACTCGTACGTTGGTTTCGGCACACCACAACCAACTTTGCTCACAGATACTATCCATTACGTATTTAAATTCCGAGCACAAATATATATATATAATCTAATTATATATATCTGTAATTTACACCGTTTTAAACTGTATTTAATTTTTTTTCAGACAGCAGGGGGAGTATCTGTCATTACAGGCACTCCCCCTGCTGGCATTGACATGGACAGCTATGCCGTCCATGTGATCATGAGGTCCTCGCAAGGACCTCGTGATAACATGGCCCGGGGGGCCGAAGAGGACAGAGGGGAACTCGCTGGGCTCCCAGGTAAGTCCCCATACCATGATCGCAGGAGTGGGATCGCCGGCGACCGGGTAAGTACATCCTCCTTAAGGGGTTAAAATTATACATACATTACCAATTCTCCAAGGGTGTGCTTTTGAGCACAACTGTATATATATGTTTAATAATAAACACTCTAAAAAACAAAAAAACAAACCAAAACAACACAATTTTAATCAAATTTCAAATCAACGAGTCAATTAACCCCTTAAGGGACCGGACTGTTTTGGCCATGTTGTACACTAAGGACCAGGGTTGTTTTAACACTTTTGTGGTGTTTGTGTTTAACTGTAATTTTCTTCTCTCTCATTTACTGTTCCCATACAAATTATATATTGTTTTTTTCAGAACAAGAAGGGCTTTCTTTACATACCATTATTTGTACCATGTCATATAATTTACTTTAAAAAATAAAATACGGGGACAAATTTAAAAAAAAAAAGATTTTTTTTTTTTTCTTGAAAAATCTTTTACTTATCTACAAAAGCTAATGAAAGAAACTGCTAAATAGATTAAAAATTTTGTCCTGCGTTTAAAAACACCCAGTGTTTACATTTTTTTGAAAGTTATAGGGCTATAAGTACAAGTAGGAAATTGCGGTTTCAAATATATATTTTTAAAATGTATCAATAGTGACATTGTAACACCGTTATCTGTCATAAATCTCTGAATCACACACCACATGTACATTTTTTTTTTTAAATTAGACAACCCAGGGTATTCAATATGGTGTATGTCCAGTCTTTTTCAATAGCCACTTAGTCACAAACACTGGCCAAAGTTAGCATTTATATTTGTTTGTGTGTTAAAAATGCAAAGCACAATTATGAACGCTAACTTTGGCCAATGTTTGTGACTACTAAAGTGGCTACTAAAAAAGACTGGACATACCCCATTTGCGATACCTTGGGTTGTCTTCTTTTGCAAATGGTATGCCATCATGGGGGTAATTCTCATTGATGGGCTACCACATGCTCTCAAAGGCAACATAACCAACCAGACAAATTTTAATGTAAAAAAAAGGAAACTCAAAGCCTTATATTTGACCCAGCAACTTTTAAAAACACTATAAAACCTGTAAATGGGGTGTACTGTTATATTCGGGAGAATTCGCTGAACACAAATATTAGTGTTTCAAAACAGTAAAACATATCATAACAATGATATCATCAGTAAAAGTGCCGCTTGTGTGTGAAAAATTTAAAAAACGTCACTTTCACTGACAATGTCATCGCTGTGATATGTTTTACTGTTTTGAAACACTAATATTTGTGTTCAGTAAAGTCTCCTTAGTAAAAAGGTACCCCCCATGTACAGGTGTTAAGTTGTCATGTAAAGTTACAGGGTTAAATACAGTGCTAGCAAATTAAATTCTCTGGACTTTTGGCCTGGGTTGTCAGGTAGGTCCCTCAAATTGCAATCAATAAAATTACTTAATTATGTAAAAATATTATATAAATATGCACCTAGAATTTAAATATATACACATATTTATATATTTGAAGTCTACGTGTATATTTACAGTGGCTATTAAAACATAACATACAGGGATATAATTTCTAATTAGTGGGGTAATAGCTGCTTGATCCAAGGAGACATCTGACTGCTATTTTGGGGTCAAGAAGGAATTTTTTTTCCTAGTTTGTGGCAAAATTGGAAGTGCTTCAGACCAGGTTTTTTGCCTTCTTTTGGATCAACAGGAACAACATTTGTGAGGAAGGCTGACCTTGATGGACGCAAGTCTCTTTTCAGCTATGTAACTATGTAACTATGTAACTATATATTTATGAAATGATTTATGTAAATTTATATATGGATAGATATATTTCATATTATTTTTATTTATTTATATATACATAGATATATGTATAATTTCATTCTAAGTGAATTTTGATATAAATATATATATATATATATATGTGTGTGTGTAATTTAAATATAAGTGTATTTTTATATTAATATATGTATATATCAATATAAAAATACACTTAGTTTGACAGTGTATATATAAGATATATATACATATTATATATAAAAATAGATAGAGTCCATGCACTCATGCTAAATAAAACATATGTACAAAAGTGTACCCCACAGCATTTACTTTAGTTGCCGGGTGCCAGTCCATTAGAAGATATAGATATACTCCAAAAAATGAAAATGAATTCAAGGGCTGCACTCACGGTCTGAATGATGAAGATATTACTTTATTCCTTAAAAACGAACAGGATCGACATTTCGGTCCGCACAGGGACCTTCCTCAGGATCAAATGACATACAAAAAAGCCAAAACAACATTACATAGATAACTACATTAATTATGGGTCTATAACTTACCACACATGTGAGTTCTGAATGTCGGCATTCTCTGTCAGCCAGTGCGCATGCGTGAAATAACCGCATCATCACGCTGGCCGACGGTCTCTACGTACTGACATCATAGATCGCCGTTCCCACAGTAACACAACCGCATCACAATGGATGCTACTTCACATGTGATACATAGCCACAATACATGTAACAAAAAAACATATACAAAGACCGATACAAACATGATGATACAATTCATTTAAAATCATGCAGTAGTGTGCCACACAGGATACGAGATAGAGCCCACTAATCAGCATACCCTATAATCTTGTGCGATTTCAGTGAATATTATTTAAGATATGACTCTAGATTAAAGTGCTTAATTACTACTGTTTGATACTTAGTGAAATCTCTAAAATTTGAAAGTGCCTAGTGCATAAATTGTAAGCAATTAATAACACATTGATAAATATTTTTCCAACATTAACCCCTTTAGACCGGAGGACGTACAATTACGCCCTATTTTAGGCGGCTCTAAACGCCGCCGGGCGTAATTGTACGCCCTCCGGTTTTTGTTAACTTACCCGGTCGCCGGCGGTCCCACGCCGGCGATCGCGGTGGGGGGGACTCCCAGGGAGCCCCCCCGCGGCAGATCCTTCTCCTCCGGTGACCCCCGGCCATGTGAGAGTGGGGTCCTAGCAAGGACCCCACAATAACATGGCCGGGTAGGCTGCCTCCTGCATTGCCAGCAGGGGGACTGCCTGTAATGACAGGTGGTCCCCCTGCTGGCTGAAAATAAAAATTAAATTAAATTTATTAGTGTAAAAAAAAATATATATATACTTAGATCATATATATATATAATATATATATGATCTAAGTATATATATACACACACGTACACTGTCTAGGTGTATTTTACTATTAATATATATATAATTATATATATATATATATATATATATTAATATCAAATTACACGTAGACTGATACTAATTAAATATATATATAATTATTGTTATATATATATTTATATATAATATAAAAAAATTAAATATGTAAATACGTTAAAAAATAAAATAAAAAAAATAATAAAAAAAAATTAATTAAAAAATATATAGATGTGTGTTATTTCGTTCTAACTGTATTGTGGTATTAATATATATATATATATATATATATTTATATCAAAATACACGTAGAACGAAATAATATATATATATATCTACATACATAAATATATACGTATAAATCACTATATATATACCTATATATAAATAAAAATATTTTCAAAAAATTATATAGCTATACACATATAGATTCACATAAATATATATATATATATATATACATATATTAATTCTACATATATATTTATGTAATATTTTTACATAATTAGGTATCTTAATTAATTACACTTAGCGGGACCTGCCTTACAACCCATGCCGAAAGTAAAGGGAATTTAATTTGCTAGCACTATATTTAACCCTATAACTTTCCAAGACACCATAAAACCTGTACATGGGGGGTACTGTTCTACTCGGGAGACTTCGCTGAACACAAATATTAGTGTTTCAAAACAGTACAATGTATTACAACGATGATATCGCCAGTAAAAGTGCAGTTTTTTGCATTTTTCATGCACAAACAGCACTTACAAGGACGATATTATTGCTGTGATACTTTTTGCTGTTTTGAAACACAAATATTTGTGTTCAGCGAAGTCTCCCGAGTACAACAGTACCCCTCATGTACAGGTTTTATGGTGTTTTCAAAAGTTACAGCGTCAAATATAAGGTTTGCATTTAATTTTTTTCACATTAAAATTTGCCAGATTGGTTACGGTGCCTTTGAGACCCTATGGTAGCCCGAGAATGAAAATTACCCCTATGATGGCATACCATTTGCAATAGTAGACAACCCAAGGTATTGCAAACGGGGTATGTCCAGTCTTTTTTAGTAGCCACTTAGTCACAAACACTGGCCAAAATTGGCGGTTTTTGCATTTTCACACAAACAAATACTAACGCTAGCTTTGGCCAGTGTTTGTGACCAAATGGCTACTAAAAAAGACTGGACATACCCCATTTGCAATACCTTGGGTTGTCTACTATTGCAAATGGTATGCCATTATGGGTGTAAATTTCATTCCTGGGCTACTATAAAGTCCCAAAGGCAGCGTAACCAATCTGGCGAATTTCAATTTCAAATGTAACGTGCTATATTTGACCCTGTAACTTCCCAAAACGCCATAAAACCTGTACATAGGGGGTACTGTTTTACACATGAGACTTTGCTGAATACAAATATGTGTATTTTATTGCAGTAAAAGCAAACCGTATTATGACATTGACAGTTAAAATGTCATGTAGAACTAAAAAAATAAAAATAAATCTTATTTTCTCCCATTTTTTTCATATTAAATTATGTTTCACATCTAAATATTTGATATTAAATAAAAGCCCTGTTTCCCCTGAATAAAATGATATATAATAAGGGTGGGTGCATTTACTATGAAATAGGTGAATTACGGTTGGACAGACATGTAGCGCAAATGCCAGGTTTTGTTTACATTTTGTTTCGTTCACAATGTGTACATTTGGCTCCGTCCTTAAGGGGTTAAAAGTGGTTATTTATGCACAAGGCACTTTCAGATTTTTGGAGTTTTTTTGGAGGAAAGCTCTACCATTGCACCAGCACTATTGGAATATTGGAAAATATAACGTATTGCACATTTATATGTAATCAAAGAATATTCAAGGATTCCAATATGGATGATTTTTTATTGCAAGCAGGGGTCTATGCAGATAGTGCTGAAACTTTACAATTTACACCAGAAGAAACTGAGGCTATTTTATGGGATAAATCAAGTCTTGAATTAACTACACATTTTTCCAGTAAGGATGTCTATTTTGAACTTCTGAGATTACATAAAAATGCAGTAGACCTGGACCTTCACGGTGTCTTCCTGTCAGATTACTTTAAAATGAAACAGATCCCTTGAGGATTTAGAATTCTTAATATACCCACCATAGGCAGATTAAAACCTCAAGTCTGCAGGGATTGGACTCAAGTTCTCAACAAGGCTTCACTTGATTTAATGTTATTATCATTAAAGATGTTAAAGCAGATCTGATAGAAACATGCAAAAAAATTATGGAATTAGAAGCTTTACATGCACTCCTTCTAAACTCTACAGAGGGTATAAAACTACAACAAAATTTAAAGGAGGAAGTGGCTAAGTATCATAATGAACTCATTAAATTTAAAAAAAAGAAAATGGAGCGAGTGAAGCTTGATTATAAAGAACATACTGTTTATAAGTGGCTTTCAGGAGGTCAGCAAAGACCTAGATGCCCTAGAAAACATATACAACGTCCTAAGTTCCCCACGATTGATGTGACTTCAGGGGAGTCAGCATCAGATAGTGAAACTAATAAACATAAAGCTTTTTTAGGAGCTACAGGAGGAACCATGATAACCCGGAGTCGAATAAAAAGTCAAGACGAACTCACATCAGTAGAGGACAGGGCGGCAAGACCCACAAGCAATCGAGCGAAACCGCTTCTCAAGAAATAATACCGGTATTCAATCTGTCAGCAAGACATTTGTCCGATGATGAAATGCAAATTTTGAGTAAAGGACTTTCATTTGTTCCTTCAACGAATCCTCAACTATTTAAATGGAACATTGAAATGTTTCGTTTTGGAAGAAGTCTACATTTAAAGGAATATTTTGCTAAAAAATCTTCTCAAAGTAACATTCCTCAAGATACTCTATTTACAAAGTTTAGATCCAAATCATCTTTTGATCCGGTTTCAAATAATCCAGCTGTAAAGACCTATTTGTCTACAACCACGGGAGAGACAAACAATCATATTAAACAATATAAGAGGAAATATCAAAATATTACTCTTCAACAAAGGAAACTCATTCGAAATTTAGCAGAGGATCCTAGCATTATTATACGTCCAGCAGACAAAGGGGGTGGAATTGTGGTAATGCAATATGATTACTATGCCCATGAGCTCAGACAACAACTTCAATGCCATCTAACCTATAGGAAATTATCTAAAGATCCAACAAAAGAAATACAACGCAAAATTGATGACATCTTAAATACAGGAGTATTGGCCGGATATTTAGAACCCAAGATGGCAGAGTACTTGTACAACAATACTCCGTCTATACCGGTAATTTACACTATTCCAAAAATTCATAAGGATCCAATACACCCCCCTGGACGGCCAATTGTTTTGGCTGTGGGAGGTGTACTGGAACCTATTGCTAAATGGTTGGATTTTTTATTTAAACAGCCAGTTATGGAATTGGAGACATGTATTAAAGATACACCTTCATTAATAAAAGAAATGTCAACATTGCAAGTCAATGGAAACTCCACAGTCCTGATTACTATGCATGTCAAAAGTTTGTATACTGTTATACCCCATACACAGGGGATTGACGCCATGAGACAAGTATTGACACAGTCAAAGACCTACAGAGGTCCACCCATTGAATACACTTTACAACTCCTGGACTTAGTGTTGTCTAATAACTATTTTAGATTTGAGAATGACTGGTTCTTGCAAATCGACGGTACTTCGATGGGAGCGGCTATGGCCCCATTATATGCCAATGTCTTTATGTACATTTTTGAAATTACCCATATTCTACCACGCTATGGTGACAATATTCTTCGATTTTTTAGATTTATCGATGATATTCTTATTTTTTGGACTGGTACTGTACAAGAGGCTCAATTAATGGTCAACAATCTGAACAAACTCGATAGCCCTATCAAATTTACATCAGAGATTAGTACCAAGAAAGTACATTTTTTAGATCTACAAATTTGGGTGGAGAATAATAGTATACAATATTCATTGTATACTAAACCTACGGATTGAAGTATGATTCTACACGCACAAAGTGCGCATCCAGAATGATTAAAAGCCTCACTTCCTAAGGCACAATTTTTGAGAACCATACGGAACAATTCCAATGAAGAAATAAGAGACGAGCAATTAAAATTTATGAAAATGAGATTCCTGAACCGTGGATACAAAAATAAACATTTGGAAGAAGCATTACAACAGGCTAGAGAATTCACTCCAAAGGAGGTTGCTATTAAGAATCGCTTGATCTGTTCAACCACCTTTAACGACATATCAGTTAAGCTGTCAAATACTGTTAAAAGAATTTGGAACATATTAGCTCAAGATCCTACACTTCCACCAATATTTCAGGAGAAACCTTTAATATGTTACAAACGTAATAGGAATTTACGTGATATGTTGGTTAAAACGGATCCAACGCAAAGTTATGTGCAGGTTGGTAAGATACAGCATCAGAGTAGTGTTAGATGTCTTGGTTGCGTGACATGTAGCCACATGGTTCCTTCACGTACCTTCAATCACCCCCATACCAATAAAAAGTTCCACATTAATCACACTATTACCTGTAAAACATTGTTTGTAATATATAAACTTATCTTCCCTTGTGGTTTATCATATGTAGGCAAAACAGAGACTCCTTTATGTGAGCGCATTAGAGGACACCGGTCAAATATTTGTACAGCCTACAGAGATGGTATCAGTGATAAACCAGTAGCTAAGCATTTTTTGGATATACAACATCCTCTTGCAACTCTTAAATTCACGGCAATTGATCACATCCCTGAACCACGCCGTGGAGGCAATAGAGGAAATATGCTTTTGAATAGAGAAACTTATTGGATCTTTCATCTTGACACAGTCTCACCAAAAGGCCTTAATGAAGTGATTTCGTATCACTCTTTTCTTTGATATATCCCCTGCTTGTATATAATGTTTTTAAATTTGTAAGTTAAGCGGCAGATAATTGGCAAAGAATTGTTAGGTAGTTTGAAAATATATAGGAATATAAATTTAATTAGTCTAAAAACAGTATAGCAACGTATACTACCATGCTTACAGTCAGTTTACAGTTGTTTAGTATACATTTATATTGTTGTTTTAGCTTCAGGTGAGGTATGTCTAAAAAACTAGTATTGTGACTTTAATTGACAGCAGGTATGTTATTGCTTTATTAACTACATTCTATATCACCCTATTTCAATTCTGTCGCTTACAGGGGTAGTAGTATGCATATACAGGAGTACATGGAGTATAAGGTTGGTTTTTATATTATTGCACTATATGTTTGCATCATATTAGAAAGATATATAGATATATTGTCAAATAATGTTGTAAGCATTAGGCACTTTCAGATTTTTTTCACAGGCAATAATTTTTAATATTACACTTTGAATCAATTAATCAATTGTTAAGCAATTAATAACACATTTATAAATATTTTTCAAACATAAAAATTGGTTATTTATGCACTAGGCACTTTCAGATTTTAGAGATTTCACTAAGTATCATACAGTAGTAATTATGCACTTTAATTTAGAGTCATATCTTAAATAACATTCACTGAAATCGCACAAGATTATAGGTTATGCTGATTAGTGGGCTCTATCTCGTATCCTGTGTGGCACACTACTGCATAATTTTAAATGAATTGTATCATCATGTTTGTATCGGTCTTTGTATATGTTTTTTTTGTTACATGTATTGTGGCTATGTATCACATGTGAAGTAGCATCCATTGTGATGCGGTTGTGTTACTGTGATAACGGCGATCTATGATGTCAGTACGTAGAGACCGTCGTAGAGACCACACTGCCGCTGGGGAGGAAGGATGGCACCTACGGCTCCCTGTGACTCACTGGACTGCTGGGGAGAGGGACCAACTGTCTCCTCTCCTAAGGACACACTCTGCCGCTGGGGAGGAAGGACAATACCTTCGGCTCCCTGGAACTCACACTGCCGCTGGAGAGGAAGGACAGCACCTTCGGCTCCCTGGAACTCACACTGCCGCTGGGGAGGAAGGACGACACCTTCGGCTCCCTGGGACTCACACTGCCGCTGGGGATCTGGGCCGACCACCCAGCATCCCTGTAGGGCCGGTAGAGAGACCACCGTCCCATCTCCACCTGCCATCTGTGGGTCTTCCCAGGACCAATCTGTGAGGTCCCTCAACATTTGCGAGTAAGGACCACCTGCTTCCGCACCTGGCAACTCCGCCTGCTGCTGGGGATCTGGGCCGGTGGCCCAGCATGCCGGTGGGCCCGTTGGAGAGACCTCGGTCTCATCTCCACCTGCCTGTTGTGGTTCCTCACAGGACCAGTCTATGAGGACCCCTACTTCGGGTTCCTGCGGCCGCCTCAGATGCAGCCTCTACTCGGCTGGTGTAACACTCCTTCCACTGAGCATACTCTCTCTCTTTCGTCAGCCGGAATTCTCGGGCCAGCCTTGTGTTTCACTCGACCGTGACCTGGTTCCAGATCACCCGGC